GTGTTCTTCGGCGAGCCATCAACAAAATTATTCCTCTACCATTTAACGACTGAATGAACTTGAAAAACTTTTATTTTATATTTATTAGTTTACCAATTTAATATTTAGTTTAGTGTAATTTTAGAGACTTTAAATTTATTTGAATATCTGGAAATTGAAATGTAAACTCTGGGAGTTTAAGCAAGGAGAATGGTAAGACCCGCCTAACGCTAGAGGGCGCTGCGAGCGCCATTGAGAGTGTGTTGAGATTCGATGCAGTTGCTCGATGGAAGGTGAGACGCAGCTCTGAGATTTTGAGATATTTTATATTTAATTAAATCCATTTTTATTTTATTGATTGGTGATTATTGAATTTGATTTATTGATATGAGACAGTGATATGTTTTGCTGAACCACCACACTTTCGACAAACTTGGATTACCACTGAACCTCAAAACCACCGATGCGCACAACTGATTATTACTAATAATTAATATAAATATATGTTTCTAATTACCATGATAAACACAAAGTGGACAATGATCTGAATTTATGCACATGTAACAAATTTCATGCCCACAAGTGTCAATAAGCTTTCTGTGCTTTCCCTTATCAAAAGGGGTGCAACAAGACGGGCACAGCGTGCCTCCATTTTCTAACATCATTTTTCTCACAGTATTGACATCTGAAAAGAAAAAAAATTAAATTTAGCCTTTGAAGAAAAATAGAAAGATCATTACGGAGATTCAAAAACAATTAATTGATCTTTGTGTTAGAACTATTTACAAACTATTTAAATTATTTACCTTATCATAAATCCAAATCACTTATATATACATTTAACTATCTCGTGTCTTTATCCTATATTTGAAAATGTCCGTATTTCTGAGAAAAATAAACTTTGGTATTAATAATTACTCTATGCCCTAACATGAACATGCTTTAACACAACTTAGATCACCAACTATGCATTAAGACAATACCCAAAATATAAAACTTCATTATGAAACTAAAATAATTTATGCAGAATTCAAAGAATTACACTTCTTATTTGTACCATAACAGGAAAACTAATTTTATGAAAAACAGTATTTAACCTTTTCTGAATCATTAATGTTATCCTTTTCCAGAACGACACAATTTCCAATTCAAGTTTCATTACATTGTTATGATACAAAACTCTTCAATATTTTTCTAGATTGTTAAACAAATTTTAATTATTTTCTGTCTGTGCAGCATATAATAATATATAAAAAATAAATGTTTAGGTTGCACCAAAGCTTTTTATTTCTGTTGTTGACATTATTATTTTAATCAGTTGAATTTATTCTTTTACTGGCAGGGTAGTTTACGTTAAACTTTAAAAATCTTAAGTAATTAACCTAAGATTATATAACAAGGTTGGCCAAACTTCATGTCAGTAAGATCCGCACGTTTGAATTCAGGAATATTCGAAAAGCCACAAGTTCATATTTAGATCATTATAGAAGTAGTGTAGGAGGTTACATCATTATAGAAGTAGTGTAGGAGGTCTTCGTAATAGGAATTTATTCCAAAGATCCTAAATCTTCGTAACAGGAATAAATTCCTATTACGAAGATGTTAATAAATCAATACACCGCATTTCTACCCCAGTATTTTTCTTTAACAGGCTCCAAGATCCTTAAAGTTATACATGAATTTCTTTCCAAATAATATATAATTTTTTCTTTCGTTTGTTTCGAATAGTTAAGGGTTTTTAAATCGTTTATAAATTTCTAGAATATTTATTACAATAACAACTCGAAATGTTATAAAATTGGGTACAACTGTCGTGCTTTTAACATATTTTCTAAACGCAAATCGCGAGAATACACAGCCTACGCATATCACTCACGTATAGCTTATAAAACTCACTTTACTTAGGTTATAAAATCATTTAGACGCTGAGTTTACTTAGTTACCCCCAAGCTCACGCTGTCAGGGGCCTAGTAAACTTCCGCCCGCCCATCTGTCTGCCGGGACACCTTCGAGTGGGCCCGGTTCCAGGGCGCGGGACTCTGGATGCTGTTCGGGCGCTGAATTTTCTGGATATCGATTTGCGAAAATGAATACGATTTTGGATGCTGTGAGGACGCAAATTAAGGAGCTAGAAATTATCAGACAACAAAATAGTAAAATTAGCCAAATATTTCATGAACAAAAAAAAAACTTAAATTTCATGGAGTACAAATACCAGATGGTATAAAGGTTACGACTGACTCCTCCAACGACTATACAGCTATAGTCAAAATCCTCAAAGATAAGGATATTGAACACCACTCGTATATCCTACTTGAGGATAGATACTTAAAAAGTTGTCCTAAGAGGTCTTTCGAGCAAAACGGATATTGATGACATAAAATCAGACTTAGAAAGCTTAAAATATCAGGTTAAGCAAATGAGTAGGAAGGTAAGATGCATAATTTCTTGCTTAGTATGATGGATATGCTAGTTGCAGTTAATTCTCAGTTAATTAACACACAACAGGATAAGACTGAACAGTCAGATAACAAAACACAAAATCCCCATGGATCTCGAGACGAAAATGATAGAGATAGGAGTCCTATCAAATTACACGAAAATAACAAACATGAAATTTCACTTGATCAACCTACCAGTTCAGATAATGATTTGTCTTAAACTAAAGGTGATCGAACAATCCGTAAACGAAATCAAAGAATTAACTTTAAGAAAATTAAACTTGGTAATCAGACTGGAATCTCCCTCATACTCATGAATACCTCAAACTCATGAAAGCACTTCTAGTGAAAATGCTACGAACATAGAAATCAGTGAGTTGTCAGTTAACCAGGTAAATGATAAAATGGATACTAGCCCACCAGCTAATGAAAATTCAGATAAAAATAACATAAATAACTCAATGCAAAACACAAATAATTCACGAATTCCGCCAGTGATTCTAAGGAAGACAAAATTGAGCTGGAAGGAAATTAGCCAAATATTTCATGAACAAAAAAAAAAACTTAAATTTCATGGAGTACAAATACCAGATGGTATAAAGGTTACGACTGACTCCTCCAACGACTATACAGCTATAGTCAAAATCCTCAAAGATAAGGAAATTGAACACCACTCGTATATCCTACTTGAGGATAGATACTTAAAAGTTGTCCTAAGACGTCTTTCGAGCAAAACGGATATTGATGACATAAAATCAGACTTAGAAAGCTTAAAATATCAGGTTAAGCAAATGAGTAGACAACGGAAGTTACCAAGCTTCCATTATTCTTAATTTCGCTACCAAAAACAGAAGAGTCCAAGAAAAATTTTAATGAACATTTCCTTTGTGATATAAAGATTAAATTTAAAGAGTATTTAGGAAAGCAAGGACTCCTGCAATGTTTTCGTCGTCAGGGGTTAAATCACACCCAAGCTAGGTGCAATTACGCCCTTAAATGTGTTAGATGTGGCAAAGAACATTATGTTAAAAACTGCCCTGACCGAAATAATAACGATAAGCCTTTGTTTTGTGTGAATTGCGGAGGTTCTCACACCTCCAGTTTTAGGGGGGTGTTAGAAGTTCCCCAAGCGAAAACCTGAGAAAACTAATACATATCCTAGCCGAGTTGTTGAAAATAAATCATACTCTCAGGACTTATCTACGGGTCTTTATTCTGATATTTTGAGTGAAGCAAAGCAGGTCTTCACTGATGTAGCGGAACTCGTTTCCGTAATCAAAAGTGCTGCGTTTCAGATTTCTCAGCAAGTTAAGGAAATCAAAAAAACCAGTCAGGAAATAGTTTAAGCCTTCCAATACTGATAATGGGACAATTTGGACCCTTAAGAGCCCCAATTAAAGAGATGACTTCAGTATAAAATTCCGTTCAGTATAAAATTCCGGAACTTATGGACTTTTTACCTTATGGACTTTTCCCGAACTTATGCAGCGTTCAGTATAAAATTCCGGAACTTATGGACTTTTTAGTGAATCATGATATCGACGTAGCCATGATAACTGAAACCTATGGTACGCCGAGTCTAAGACTGACTATCCCAAACTACAAATGTTACAGATGTGATCATCTGAGTCACCGAGGTTGGGGGCTCGCCATTTATGTCAGGAACTCCCTACAGTCCTGTATGATTACTGATGAGCGTCACAATGGACATGAGCTGGTCACGGTATCAGTTCTACTTCCCTACTATGGCACGGTCTATTTTAACTCACTGTACAACCCGCCATGGAATACTTTAGATATAAATTATCTGGCCAAGGTCTTAGATATAAACAAGCAGGTGATCCTTGCGGGGGATCTCAATGCTAAGAATTTAGAGTGGTGTTGCAAAAAAATGGAGTGAAACTTCTGGAATTCATCAACAACTATGCGATTTATTTTTACTCGCCAAGCGAGTATACGTACCTATCACACAACCCAAGGAGAGGAGATATTTTAGACTTATTTATGTCGACTACATCATTCCCCTTCAATCTTGAGGTTCTCCATGAGTTAAATTCCGACCACTGCTCGGTTATTGCTACCCTTGGTACCAGTAAGGACATCCAGGAGGAGTTCATTAATACCACAGATTGGAAACTGTTCCATAATCTGCTTAATGACCACCCGACTAGCATACACAGACTGCAGACCACGCATGACATTGACACTGCTATCAACCGGCTGACTGCGGATATTCAGACTGCGCATAAAAACGCCACTAGGAAAATTCCTAGACAGCAGATCGCTGATAGACTTCCAAGGCAGATCAGAGATCTGATCAAGGATAGGAACAAGCTCAGAAAAAGGCTTTCATATTACATGGGATCTAAATACCAAGAAGCAGCTTCAATAGGCTTAATAAGGACATCAAGAAAGCACATTACAAGTTACCGATAAGGAGCTCTGGGATGAGAAAGTCCGCTAGCTACAATGAGTCCAATAACGCGTTTTGGTCGTTTGTACAAGAGATTAAAGAGGTAAACACACGGTTAACAAGCCAATCTGTGTGGAGCATCGTGTTGCTCTTAATAATAAAGGTAAAACTACTATACTTGCTGATCACTTTGAGAAGCAATTCTTCCCTAACATCACTCCTAGCAATCCAGAGTTTTGAACAAAGGTCAGCTCCTATGTCTCTGACAGGACTAGTGCTTCTCCTAAGCAAAATCATCTTGAGCTCACCTCGCCCCGAGAAATTTTGGATATCGTTAAGAAACTACGGAACAGGAAGGCGCCTTGTTTTGATAACATTAATAATGTCGCGCTCAAGTGTCTTCCCTTAAATATCATTTCAAGGTTCACGGGCATCCTAAACGCATGCCTCTATCACAGTTACTTCCCCAAGTCATGGAAAACTGCCAAAATGATTATAATCCCGAAGCCGGGAAAAGACCAGACAAAACCTGAAGGGTACAGGCCCATTAGTCTGCTTCCCAGTATGGGCAAGATTTTAGAGCGCATCATCTTCAGCAGGATACAGCCTCATCTCAATAAACTTCCTATGGAGCAGTTAGGTTTTAGGAAAGCCCTCTCACCACCAAACAATTGGTACGGCTAAATGAATTTATTGGCAGCGCGCTGCACAAGGGGTGTGTTGCCTTACTCATGCTGGACGTGGCAAAAGCATTCGACCGCGTCTGGCATGAGGGGCTTATTTACAAGCTTATAGAACTTAACTTCCGTAGAGAGCTGATTCAGATAATTA